AATTCGTGATGTAGTCTTACTGGAAAACGAAGGAAGATTGCCGTGTAGAGAAGACTGTTGAATTGCGCGAAAAAGCCCTTGGCTCACCTCGATGAAACTGTGCTAAGCTTCCGTATGTTCTGTGGCAGCCGTCATCAGAGCAGGTATCCATACTTCACGAAATAAAGCAAAGATATACTTAACCAAGAGAAAAGGTGGCCCGGCTGCAACCATAGTCGCCTTTTTTATACGCCCAACTTCGAGATCTTAATGAACCATTCCATGATTTGGCCATTTTAGATAGACTTTACATGCTTTCAAATGAGTGGAGTTACTTCCCGAACTGAAAGTACGTTCGGTGGCAGCTGTTTCCTCACACAAATAAACTTGTATACGATCCTCAAACTCGAGGCTAATCCAGCCTCCTCTTGCTCAGTGGCTCTTCCTGCATCCCTTCTTTCTGCCTTTCCTTAAGTCTATCCAACAGCCACAACTAGTTCCTAATGGTCAGCACCCAAAACCGGATTTGAAACCAGGTCGTACGTACCAACAGCATTACTTCTAGAGCTATTAGTTAATTTTTTTTATGAGGTCTTAAGATATCTTAGGTGACATAAACTTAAATATAGATTAATGGTTAAGTTTAACTAGAAAATTATTTAAAGATATCATGGCAAAATTTAAGTTCACTTGGTGCTTTTATCAATAGATCATATGGGAATAGGGAATAGTTTTTAATCAGTTTTAAAAGTTCCTTCTACAAATTTGAGTTACAATTATTCACCTTCAAGTTTTCAGTATATATTTATACATACATTATTCAAAAATTCCTTTTTTGTTCTATAAAATATATGTTTTTATCCGGGGCTGCCTTATTCAATTAAGCATGTGTCATTTTATCTCATTATTAGGGGAATACGTGTCAGGCTTTTGAAATAATAAAGTATCACTCTTTTTAGAGATATTGACGGCAAACTTGGAAGCCTGGGTAATATTACATACTTTTTAGATAATAAATAATAAGATAAAAACTAAACTATGTTCGGGTATGCAAGAAGGGTGCTGAACCTTTACCTATGCTAAAACAAATAAATCCAAAAGATTATATAAAGTTTCTTTATGTTCCCATTTTCCAACTTTCGTCTGCCCTAGTACACCCATCAATCCTATACCCTCGCTTCTCACTCTATTTAAAAATATCTTATTTATTCTATACTGCATAGAGGTGGGCGGGTTTAGGGAGGTTTGAGCACTTTTCCCACTGATTTCCTTTACCTCCTCTGATCCGAAACCGCCAATCCCGCTTGCGACCTTGACAATCCGTTTCTTCCCATTGTTTTAATTTATTTTACTCGGCCCATTCTAGTGACTCATCCATACATTTGTCTCGATAGTCTCAAAATTCTACCCGAAACTAATATGCTTAACAGTGTCGACCGTGATAACAAATGCATGTTTGCTTCAGCGGCAATCTCGCTATACAATTGAGATCAGGGTGAGGCTTAGTTTGTCTTGAAATTTAGTTAAGCCATGTGATCGACTTGCTCTTGAGGTAGTGCTGCTTAGCGGTTAGATGTCAGAATTATGTACTACACCACCTTTGTTCGATTCTCGTTGATGCTCTGAGGAAACACGGGCGAAGTCGAAACTGCAATCCACTCTGGATGAAAATACTTTTTGGGAATTATGACTAAGCCAATATAATTTAAATCATGAAACCTACTCATTTCATTAGGCTAAATTTACTATCACTTCCTCACCTCCCTAGACGACCTATGGTGACAAGCTTTTATTTATGGTATATTAATAGCTTTAATCTTTTATTCAAAACCAATTCATCCGTCAGTACTAGGATTCTAATGATTTTTCTTCTCTAGTTGTGATTATACTTGAAATTGTGGTAATTTTCGAACATGTTTTTTAAAATTTGTAATTTGTTAATTGTCCTGTTAGAGCAGATGACTCTGATATTTAAGAATGGTAGCTTCTTATCTACTTCTATCTCTATTGTGAATTAAATTCTTTCCTCAAATTGGTTCACGAACTCAATAAATTTATCCAAATTTTTTTATTCCATATAGGAAAATTAACTTGCATTCTTCTAGTCTCCTGAGATGGTTGTGCTGGCTTTTATTTAACTTGAAAGAGGTGAATTCTAGGTCGATCTCACCATAAGACTACGGCCTTTTCTGTTCTACAGTCATTTATTTCGCTAACGCACTTTACGAGACATTCTCTTCCAGTTCTAGTAAAAACTGGCTGAGTTTTCAACCATTATACGAAAGACATAAATAGAGCCGCAATTTTTTTTTGCAAAGGCGTCGAGTTGCCACTAAATCTTCTCAGGTGATCTATTTACAAGTCTCTTCATCAGGCCCTTTCTCACGAAATAAAAGTCTCTAGTACTATGCTACTCCATGAATCTCAGCGAAACCCATCTTTTCATCTAAAACGTCGAAACACCAATTATAATACATAATAATTACAACATAACCTAAAGTATTTTCTGTATGATCAAGTTTAATGAACCAAGGATTATGTAAGCATATTTATATGATGTAGCTATCTTACTTAACGGTACTGTTGAACGGTTATTGCAGCTATAATCATCGCCAAGCTGGCCTTTTGAATCATCTCTTAGTCGACATTTCTTCTCATTAATTCTATCAATCATGGATAAATACCTACATAATTCATATTTCTTTTTTTCGTTAATTAATTAGGATTTCGAGTCTACGAAAAAAGGAATGCACTCAGTTGCTATAGTAAATACAATTTTATTTCTTCGACAATCCCAGTACATAAATATGGGAAAAGCCTAGGCTTCCTTAAAATTCAATTATGCCCTATGACCCAGGGACTCTCGTGGCAGTGTTGCAAAGTTGTTGAATAGAGACTATACGCTGCACTCCTGATCTTACTTTTGCCTGATCTACTCCAAGTTAGTTTAGGCAATATGCAAAGTTTTTGCTGATCCTGCCTTCTTCAAGTCTCCTGTTAATTAGATTTCTTTCGGTCAGCATATCGATGGCCTCTCGGATCTTGAGTTTTCTCGTATTTTTACTATATGCAGCCAACTTTTCGACCGATTTCCAGTGGATTTCATGCCTCGTTCGTGCAATGTGTTCTGCTATTTCGGATCTTTTCGTATCTATCTTCCTGCAGAGTCCTTGATGTTCCTTGATTCGTAGGCCGATTTTTTTTCCTGTCTCACTAATATACTTTTGCTCACATTTGCCGCATTTGATGCAATAAAGTCCCGAGCAATCAAGTTTGTCCGTCTTCTTGTGTTGCGTAGGCAGACTGGTGAAAACTGTTTTCTTCTCCTTTGTTATCATCTTTTACCAGTCTGCCGACGCAACACCAGAAGACAGATAAACTTGATTGCTCCGATAGGCCATCGATATACTGACTGAGAGAAATCTAATGAACAGGAGACTTGAAGAAGGCAGGACCAGCAAAAACTTTGCATATCACCTAAACAAACTCGGAGAAGCCTAGGCAACAGTAAGACCAGCAAAAAGAAGACGACTGGATCAATGTAATATCCTTAATTTTAGGAAAATAGATCGCAGGGGTGCGAGAAAGGAACAATCATAAGCAAAGAAGAGTGAATCTAATCAAAACAAGTAGAACCACGACAATTGTTAGTTGGCACAGAAGAGGCTAGGGCATAGGAAGTAAAAGACATAGTATTACAGATAAAAACAGGAAGGACGCGGTTGAGACTAGAGCTATTTGGCTAACAATAGACGTGTTTGATCATAGACGGGATCCTTAAATCACGACTTGTTAGCCATCTACCTCTAGCTTCCACTGTTTCTATCCTCTTTATATCTATCATATCAAGTCCGTGACTTCCTATGCTCTAGTCTCTTGTGTGCCAAACCACAAATGTTTTGATGCTGATTGCTTTGATTAGGTTCAATGTTGAATCACAACATTTGTAGTTTTGAACACAAGAGCCTAGGGCATAGGAAGTCATATACTTGGTATTCCGGATAGAAACAGGATAGACGCGCCGGAGAAACGTGATCCATGAAGCAATGGCTTGACCATGAGAATTACTCGTGACTTTAGCCTTAAGTTAGTCTCCTAGAGTCGTAATGTGAAAAATAACGCCTCTAGTAGCACAGATGGGGTTGCAGGGTTCAAGTGAAATACTTGATCCATGGAGATAGCAGACGGATCCTACGCAGCAAGAAGGTGACTGATAAGACCTAGGGAAGGAGGACTGCGTAACAATATGGCAGACTTATTAACATTCCGAGCACATGAGTGAATGGGGTTGGGGGAGTGTGAAGAGTTCCTATAAAAGCCGCTCAAAGGGCATACCATACCACATTTAAATAAGCAAGTAAAAATTGTGCTAGTGAAGGTGTGATACAAGGATATAAGAACGGTAAATAGCCCAGAACAGGAGAGACACCACAATTGTTTAGCACACAATTGGTTACAGTATCGGCTTCACTTGTCTCTTTGTCGAGTTGTAGTATGATGCTAAGAATGGTAATGCTCATTGACAATGCCGGCGAAACATCCGGGAATGTACCACGTCCAGGTCTGACTCTGGAAATTAGCATGCATATAATGGAATCCAAATAGGTGCGTTCCTCTAAGTCTTTCTTATTTTTTCTTTGTAAACCGAGTTTCGAGACTACAGGTAAATCACTTAATTGAGATATATTTACCCTATTTCGTTTAAGCTGATGAAGGGCTAGGCAAGATCGAAACTTTAGTCCACTCCGGATGAGAACAACTTTTTGGAAAGCTAGGCTATCCGAACTTTAATGGAAACATTAGCTCTACTCATATCCTTATGAGAAAATTTAACTACCACCTTTTCATTATACATTAAATAGGGTGAATGCATTTCATATATATGAATTCTGCCAATTTGAATTCCTCATTGCTATTTGTCGACTATCAGTCTTAGCTGCTACTCTTATTTATATCCATTCGTTCATCCTTAGGCTTTTAGGTGGTCTTGCGTCCTTTATTGCTTTTGAATTCATCATAAATCCGTTAATATACATTTCTTTCATCAATTTCTGTTGCGTTCCATTGCTATTCATTGATATCCCTTAGTACTCGATAGGTCATTATGTCGCACAGCAAACTTTACGTTCTCTCCGTGTATTTTTTCCTGTGCATTCCTTCTCTCCTTCCTCATCAGCTGAAGGATTATTTGATCATTCCTTTTTAGCTACCTTCTTATCCTTTCCTTATAATGATGACTCTGGCAGATGACGCAGACGAGGTACATTCGTCAAAGTTTTTTTCCCGACATCTCATTTATGTTACAATAACTAGGTCAAATGACTTATAGATATTTCTTTTATTTCTTTATCTTGCCTTATTTGGTTTTATTCTGGTTTATTTTTGTATTCATTATTATTTCATACTTTGTCATCGTCGCCGCCATCGACTTCAACCACATTGTTGGCTTCTCTATCCCATCTTCATCTGCTTTGGGCTCTTCTATAGTACCTGATTCATGAGCCCTTTCTCCGTAACAGTGAGCTCCTTTTCAGCTTTCTTACCTCTAAATCGGAGTTCAATTCAAGTTTCCTGCCCGATCTGAATCTAGGCCGACTTGTTAAATCGATGCCAATGCGCCTTTCTAAAGAGGTGACATTTTTACTCCTTGATTTACTTTAGAATAATTTGATCAAATAAATTTTTGTAGATATTACCTTTTTACCTACTAGTTTATCATTTATGACTTTCTCTTCAACCTCTTTTATCAGAACTTATATATCAAGCAGGTCGAAGCAACACGATTCTCTATTAACGTACACAGCTTCATTTATTTATGAGAATTATCATTAGGATGAGGTTTCTGTAGTTTATTATCATTACGAGAAAGGGTTATCAGCTATTTGCGATAACATATATATATTTTCATTTTCATATTCTTTTTTCCTTTTCCTTTCCCTTTCGATTTTTTTTTATTTCCTACTTTTTAATCCATCCAAAATCGCTTTTTTGCCTTTTTATATTTTTGACTTCTTTTAATCAGAAGGGCCAATATTTGGAAGAGTTTCTCTCCTTTTTTCACCGTTCGTGTTTCAACCCCATTCGCGTCTCGGCGCGCCATTCATCAAACCAGCAGGCCATCCAATCGCCCCCTCGGCCCTGCACTCTGGCCTCTGATTCTGACGCTCCTACTTTGCCACATATCACGTTATCTCCAATGACATTAACTTCCTCATCAGAGATCGTCTCTCATTCTAGTAATACCTCTGGTACCTCGCTCGATCTCATGCAGAGCCCTCCTGCCATTGGCTTGGTTCCTTCTTTGCCTTCAGCTTCCAACTCAGTCTTAACCACAGGAATCTCATCTAGTCTTCTCTGCACGTCAGCATCTGAAATGGAGAAGAAGTTTGTTTTCGGGACGGGAAGTCAAACCATGGCCCCCAATACTTCTGTAGTATTCAAAACCAGTTCTTCCAGCAACGGGATATTAGGACCTCCATCACAAAGGCGGTCGCCTTCTTTACTAGAGCACCGGCTCCGAGCCAAAGCCTTTTGGAACAACGCTGGTATCCGCGAACCACTTCATGGCGCAGGCTTGAATTTGACTGGGGATGACTTTAGCTCAGTACGACAGGTTAGGAAACGCATTTGGCTAAAAATTAGGTATTTATGACTATTTATGAGAGATCTTTATGTAATAGTCTGTACAGAGAGAATTTTGGCTCGGATACGGCTATTTGGAGGACTTTCTTAAAGATGCAGAAAAATTCAGACTTGTTTCCATGGCTAGGGTTTGGGGCTAGGAGAGTGAGGATTTATATTTAAACTTTTTAAAATGATTAATTTACCAAAGAGGCAAGATGTGCAGCACTATTTAAAGTTGTCAAAATTTTAAATAATAAGGCATAAATAATTTCATTAATGAGATAGGATACCATAATTTTTTTTTAATTTAGCCAAAAACATTGAAATATATAGAATGTCAAATTCCTGCTTTCATTATATTAAAACCAGTAATCCTCAGCTTTAGGAATCCATCTTACAATCTCCTTTGAACATTCTCTGATATATTTTTTCATATATAAGTAAAGTTTTCAGACTACCAGTAAATCAGTTATATGAGATGTATTCACCCTATCCCGTTTAAGGTGATGAAAGACTGGTAGTACAATTTTCCCACAATGATATGAGTAGAGCTGACGTTCCCAATGAATTTCATTTAGTCTTGCTTTCCCAAAAGTTGTTATCATCCATGATGGACTGCAGTTTCGACCTCGACCCTCAACACCCCAGCGGGAGTCGAACCGTGACAGTGTAGTGTGTACCCTCGATAAGTTGACCACTAGGCCACATTGCCAAAAGTGCCTTTGGATAACAGTCTTCCTACCAATATGACCATGTTGCGAAAACAAGGTCAAACAACCTCTATACAACGAAAGGAGATTG